GGGTAACAGGACGGGCAAATAATTTGTTTTTTTCATGTGATAATAGTTTTACTTTTCTCTGGACCTTAAATGCAGGGGTAAAGTATGTCCATTCTGCCATATGTCCATCCCTTCCGCTCCAAAACCAACCTCATTTCCACCGTCCACTCTGATTCATAGTGACCCTATGGGGCAGGGTGGAATTGCTCCTGTGGGCTTTTGAGATCACAATTCTTTACAAGAGGAGATAGCCTCCGTTTCCTCCCACAGAGCCCCTGGTGGTTTCAAATGACCAACCACTCAGCTGGCAGCCCAACAGGTAGCCGCTCCCTCGACCAGCCAAATACAAACGGGATGGGCCCAGTGTACTCCTTGTTTGGAAAGACAAATAGTGACGGGGGTCTGGTTCTGAATCTGATTTTTTAAAATTGAGTATGCAGATAAGGTGATCTTATTCTATAGTCTTGGATGTATAACATCACTTTAGGGTTAGAAGACAGAATTTAAAAGGACCAAAAATTCAGATAGAAAGCTGAAAAGTATTAAAAAATACAACTAGTTTCAAATCCTAAATTTCGAGAAACTCAGAGGTCACATATTTAGCATAAATAATGGAAAGAAATTCTGAAAATACTGGAAAACACTATAATATTTTTAGTGTTTAGGCTTATGTGAGGGAATGTAACATCCTTTTCCACAACCCCAAGTCAGTCGCTACCACTGTCAGGGACCGAGGGTGTACGGAAGGAGACATAGGTCTGTCTCCCAGTGTATTGCGTCCCCTGCTCACTTCCCAAATACATATCATTAACTACCAACAAGATGGGAGAGTCCCAGCTAACATACTGCAGAGAAAAACACAATACTGCAGAGTAGTTTTGGGAAACAGAGGGCCCACATGTACATATCACTTGGCGTCAAAAGTTGGTGAAAAATAGAATCAAAAAGAAATCTCCCCGTGAACTTTTTGAAGCACCCTCATAGATATCATAGACAGAAATTAAGCAACTTCTCATGCCATTTCCCAAAGTGAAGTTCAGCCTCATTCAATTGTCTAAAAATGTCACTTTGGCTATTTGTA